TTTAAATGTTCTTAATTTAACTACAAATATTGTTTTTTACATAGCTCAATGGCAGTGACATATTGTATAGTGGACTCTAAATAGTTGGGATATTATTGCTTCATGTTGTTTTGTCAAAATTGTATCCTAAAATCCACATCGTCGAAGCCAACCAAACTGATGTGATCCTAATTATTTTTCTAGTCATTTCTGATTAGAAAAAAATAAGGTGAACAATCAGACTGTGCAGGAATTACTCAGAATTACATAGCAACTAAACTGTCCTATTTACTAATATAATGATAACATTTCATCATTTGTCACATTATAAACCATTCCATGTATTATATACAAAGGGAAAGTGCTATATGGTGCATACAGAGGAAATATATGCACACATGCAAAAGTGAAAAGACAAAACTCTTGTCAGAAAGGAGGGTGCCAAGAAAAACAGACAACCCTAGAACAAAGAGGACAATGAGAAATGAAGTTAACTACCTCGAGAAAGTCTCCTGCCTAAGCAACTTCTCAATGGCAAGTTTGGTTTTACTTGTTCCGACAACTGCACAAGATCCTTCCGTGTAGTCAGTAATCAACTCTGGTTTCTTCAGGTCCTGATCATATAGAAACCCATATTCTTCATTCATTTCCAAGAATGTTAGACTCTGATTTAGAAAAGGGAAAAAAACACAACCTAGGCTTTGTTAAGCTGACATCAAAAGCAAGCAAGTTTTTGCAAAACAAGCAAGGCCATATGCTCTGAAATGCTTACTTCTCATGGCCAACATAAACTGATACACCAAGGCCACATATAGCCAAGAAAAAGGAAAAACATAACAACTAATTACTTGATTCAATCCATGAAGTTCTTTAGGCATATCAATATCCTCCGGTTCATCTGAAAAAGTTAATAAAAATCATCAAATAAGCTGCATGTAAGAATTAAAATTATGAGAACAAACAAAAGTTCATCCTGGACCAAGTAAACAAACATATCCAATATTCACTGCAAAGCGAGAACATGCCAGCCATGTTTCTCTTGGCATATAATGACAAGGGTGGATACCAGCAAGAAAAATAAAAGAAAAAAAATCCTGAGGAATGGCCACTGTGATCACTCCAGTGATGTTTTTACTCTTTATCAAGAAAGCTATGAGCATGTACGACATAAATTGCCCCAGAAATCTCCAATGCTCCATTCTTAGAATGATGAGGAAGTGTGATCACAACAGCACATCTTCTAATTGTTGGATTATATATATACTGCCAAACCGTGATAGCACAATTAAAAGAATGGAAATGCAACACAAACATGCAAAATATAACATCTGTGTGCTACATGCAACTCTTGGAACAAACCTCTTAGGATTGTGTTATAAAAAGATGTTACACTCTGGAAATTTACAGTATATTCTATTCTATTCTGTTGCATATCTCCGGTTTCTGGTAAAGTTTGTGGCCACAAAAAGATAAAAGGCATCATTTTAGTCACTATTGCTAAGGTTTCAATGGCCTTCATAATAACTTTTAATCTACTACCAATGGAGGAAAGATAAGTTCACATAAAACGAAAACGGGAGGCATGTAAGCGTGAGTAGTACATCTACTGCATGGAAAAAGAAATAGTTAAAGGAGATAGTTTCTAAGTGAATAATATAGAAGAAAGTAGTGTGCTTCACAAACAAAGAGTTTCCAAACGAACATAATGTAACCACAACTATCTCAGCTTATTCATTAATGACAAATTCTAAAACAAAAACTCTCTTCTTGAGACAATTTCCTGTCACTGTTCCAGTAAACCCAGACCGATTTCAATGCCAACGAAAATAGGAGTCGTTTTTAAGCAAAGTATGATTGCATAGAAATGTATGGTTGCACTAGAACAGGACTACAACATGGTTTAATATATTCTATCACATAGATATCCCACAGCACATACCATGCTACAAACTTCCAATAAGTGTACAATTTAACCTTAATTCGTCAAAAAAGAGAAACCCAATACAAGAACCCTAAAATTCAGTTCACCGATACAAAGAGAACACAAAAAAGAAAACTAACTGCAAGCACCAAGAAGTTCAACACCCCACAACTAATCGAGAACAATGCAACCCTAACAGAGAAAATGAAACGACTCACTGAATCGTGGACTGCAGTCTTCATACGAGGAGTGATCTGAAGAAGAGGAGGAGGAGGGTGAGCTGCCATCGGAGCGAAACACGGAGGAGATGAACTTGCCAGCGCCAGAGATGAGGCCGAGGAGCCACCTCGGGCTGCCCGTGGAAGCGGGGGGAGGAGGAGGGGGAGGGCGCGCGTAGGGGGCGGACCGCGGGGGTGATCGTCGACGGACGCGGAGGATCTTCCCGCCAGACCCCCGCTCCTCCGCCTGGCGACCAGCTCTAAAGAGAGAGGCCATTGCGGAATGAGGGCAAGGGGAAGAACGGCGAGTGGAGAGGAAAGAGTCGGGCTCCTCGATTGACGTAGAGAAGGGGGGGTTGCTGTGGAGAGGGAAGGAGGAGAAGCCGTGGTTTGACTACCAACAGAGATTTCGTCGCCGGGCAGATAGCCAAGAAAGGATCGAGGGCTGCGTTGGAAGTCGGCGCGGGTCGCGTGCAGCAAGACACGGACCGGCGGTCTTTTAAGACGTCGACCATGACGGCGCCTCCACAACCGCTGACGTCACGACTTAAGCTACGCATTACTCCCCGCCGTTAAGAGAAGTCGCAATTTAACATTTCATGTGATCTTTAATTAATTTTTAAGCAAATATTTTTTGAAAAAATAAACTATGACAAAAAAATGATTTTTTTTTTGGTATCGAGCTTTGTTTCTCACCATAATACTTTCAAAAAGGATCACTCTATATTTGTTTCCACTTCGATGTTTCAAGGAGTTTATGAATTATATTATTTGATTCAAGAGATGATAGATATAAATTTGAATAATTATATTATTTTTTATGAAATCTTATAGCTAACATGAGATGATAAAATTGATTTGATTATTTGTATCATGTATATTATTTCGTTTCATTTCGAGATCTGGATTATTGTTACTTGCACTTTAAATAATTATACAACGATGTTTTAATTATTTTTTATTTTAAATGGATGTATAAAAGATATATATATATATATATATATATATATATATATATATATTAATCATGTTATGCATATAATATGGTTGTCTAAGATGTTTTAGATGTGTTTTTGTCTTAGGTTAATGTGCACAAAAAATATTATACTCATGTTGGACACGTGAGATTATTTTTTATTTTGGGGTCCTAATTTGATGTCTTGTAAAATAAAGGATGTTTCAGTTGTGTTGAGTTTCATAAATGTTTTTTTATATTAGACAGATGAGTTATATCCAAAGAAAAATGTTCTAATCAACTAAGATCAATAATGCATATTTTTTATAAATTATGTGTTAATTTGATAATGTTGGTTGCTTTCAATATTTTTTTTATTTTTTTAATAGAATATTTAATGTTATATAAATAGATTCATCAAAAGGAGCTAAAAAAAAACCTTTTTATTTTTTTATTTAAGAGAGACATGAGCTCAACTTGCCCGAGTCGACCTAATTGGGTATGAGACTTGGCTAGCTCGATCGAATCGATTGACTTTAAAGATTTTTTTTAACTTTAATATATCGTAACTAGTTTATTAAGTATATAAGAATGCTTTTTTTTTCTTTGATTCTACCATTCATATGGTTTTATATTACTAGGCAAGGATGAAAGATAAACAAAAATAATTTTATTAAATTATTATAAATTTAACAATCTGAAAAATTAGGATTCTATATAAGACATGTGATTTTATATAGTGAGCATTACACATAGCTGATCATATTTTTCTTACCTTTCTTTCCTCTTCATTAACTGCCTCTTAGAGCAGTACAAGTTGTATTGGGATGTGAACTGAGTGTTACAGGATTTTTTATTTAAAATTATATTAAATAAAAATTAAAATTAGGAAGTGAATAGAGTTGCCTTAAGTTATGCTAATTATATATTTCCCTGTAGTGAGTTATCTTTAGTTTTACGATCATAACATGTTAAGAAATTATATTGACATCCATATAATTATAAAAATAAAATATTTTAAATATATTTATCATAACATCGTTAGTCTTATCAATATAAATATTAAGATAAAAGATAAAAATATTAATATTCCAGATGATATGGATGGTAGTAAATGCTTATGAACTGAGTTGTTATAGGAATTTTGGTTTAAGATTATATTAAATAAATTTTAAAATCTACAAGTGAATATAGTTGTTACATAAGGAGCTAATTATATATTACTTTTTATATTTAGATTTAGCATCGCAATCTCTATAAATAAAAAATTTACATTAGGATCTCTATACTTTTAAAAATAAAATAAATAATTATATTTATTATAATATTAAAAAATATAATACGTAACGCAACGTGTTAGACCAATATGAAAATGACAGACAAAAAGATAATTTTAATATTCATTCCATTTCTAACGATTTAATCGATAAAAAAATAATAAATAAAAAATATTAAAATTATATTTTTTACTTATTATTTTATGTTGATTCAATATGTGGTATCATTTTTTTTTTGTCAATACTAAAATTATTTATTTTATTTTAATATTATAAAATTTTAATATTTTTTTAAAATATAAAAAATATAATATTAATAGGACGGAGATAATATATAATTAGTCCCTCTGTTAGCGCTTGACACGTGACTATGGCTTCGTCACGTGGCTGTGGGCGCCCCCTCCGTCTTAGTCGTCGTCGGGTTGTGTGCCGCCCACCACCACCGCTCCTCCGGTGGACCCAATACAAACCGAGGCGGCCTCTTGCTGTCTGCAAACAGTAGTCATCGCTCGTCAGATCTACCCACACTAGTTTTATCCAAGTGAAAGGGGATAGCATGCGTGCCGTGCCTCAGAGAGAGAGCCAATGCATAAAAAATCGTGCTTTAGATCAGTGATTCTTGGGGAACAGGGCCTCGTGGTTGAACTCTGTCTCTTTGCACGTCCATGTCATGTTATATATATATATGATCTGTGCACCTTCTTGTCTCAAGTTCATGTTATCGACAAGGCACAACGCCTCCTTCGTGTCCTATTCGTGAGTTACTCCGTAGCTGTATCCCAATGCATTCTCCTAAACGCCAGGTCGGATCTTCATCTTCCTGCCTCGTTCAGCCAGGGTGCACGAGTTGTTCCGTCGCCAAAGAGCGGTGGGCTCCACGATCCCGGGGTGATGCGAGGAACCTTAGCGATGAGGGAAGGTGTCCCATGGCTGGAATGTGGCAGGCGATCCGAATCAATATCCCTCGGTGTGAAACCCCGAATTTACCACACAGCACCGCACTCAGTGGCATTTTCGTTATTTAGCCAAAATGAAAGACCGATGGATTACGAGAACAAATAATAATGATGGATAAAAAGGCACGAATTCTTCCGCTTGCGCTTTTAGAGAGGGAGAGAGAGACTCAGCGTCGGCAAAAAGCTCCCACCACTTTCTTCCTTCTCTAATGGCGAATCTCGCAGCCTAGCTTTCACACGAGCCACTTCTCACACCCTCTCCTCCCCACTCTACTGAGCCCAAACTGTAAACCTTCGCTTCGCCCGTGCCTTCGATCTCTACTTGCTGGTCTTCGTCCGCAGTCATGGCCGCAGAGAGGACACCGCCGCCGGTGATTGGGAAGGCCGGGAGCTACACCGTCTTCATCACCCCGCCTCCGAACCCGACGCCATCCGAGGGCCCAAGATCCCCCATTGCGAGCCCTACGCCGAGCCTTAGTGCCAGCACCCCTGAAAAGGAGGCTCCTTTGCCGGCGAAGGCTTCTCCTCCTCCGCCGCCGCCGCCGCCGGTTCAGGTACCACCCCGGCAGTTCGAGAAGCCTGCCGCCAAGTCTTCTGGATCCGTATTCGGCTTCTTCTGGGACGCCATCGTCAAAGTCCAAAATGGTATCTTATTCAAATTCTTGAAATTTGGGGGTACTGTGGGATCTTTTCTTTTCTCATATTTTTGGTTTTGGCTAACAGCGCATTCGAGCTTGGACGAGTACTTGGCGGATTGGTTTGGATTGAACCAGTCCAGGTACCAGTGGGCGTTGAATGATTACTACGAGAGCAGTGAAAAGGTTACTGTTCTTTTCGCTTTGGTCGTGAAGTTTCGTAATGTTCTTTTGGTCGGCGATGGCTTGAAGGTTACTCTGGATTTGGAATATGGAATTGAACTACCGAGTTTTCGTCATTGCTTTTTTCTTTCTTCGATATGCTGATTTATGATAAGTTATGCTATTCAATGATTTCGATTATATCACCTGGAATTTGCTTGATCTTTTAGCATTGGTGATAGCTTGAGGGTCACTCTGGACTTGGAATATGTGGTTGAACTACTGAATCTTCGGGACTCTTTATGATTTGCTATTTTTTTGAGTGACTTTGTTTTTTCACTTGGAATTGTTTCCTAGAGCACTTTGCTTGATCTATCTTCACTTTCGAATTTTTACAAAGAGATGTATTTTCTCAGTTTTCTCTACCGGACCATGTGTTCAAATGTCTTGACTATGAGCATTTGAGGTACCTTCAACCACTTACAGCTATCTTTTGATTTATCATGACACTGTGTAAAAAAGATATCATAGGATTGAGAATGACCTGAATCAAATAGTTAAATTTTGATACTAAAAAAGAAGGTCGATTGCTTGGAAGAAGAACAACAATCGGGTTAATTTTCGGAGGGCTGTGGCTGCCGAGGAAGGGGGTTTATTAATTCCTGGTGGCTAATGAGCTGATCTATGCTGATGAGAAAACATCTTATGCAATTAAATATATACGCGAATATATACGTGCGACACTGTGTGTCCTCTTTGTATTGTTGATGTGTTTTGCCTGGAGATATGTCAAGATATATGAAGCAGGATCAGAGTGTATAAACATCTTGACTTATGAATTTATAAGTGTGAAAGTTGGACAAATGCAAGGACATGTCTGTGTGATTTGTTTATTATTAGTTTAACTAGGGGAGTTTGATTTTTCTTGTCATTTATGTAAAATTGTACGATTTACATAAGGTATTTAGCATGGCATAATAGTCTGTATTGGAGGAAGAAACTTTTAATTGAATTTGAATGCTTTAGCAAAGGTTTTCAAGAACATCTCAAAAAATTATTAATTGTCTATTTTGATGCTTGAAATGTCATTTAAAAGTAATATGGAAATGTTGGAATTTCATGCTTTTATATGACAAATGTAGCATGTTTCCATATGCTAAACCCAGTGAGTCTAAGCCCCATATGACGTTCTTTTAGCCTAAGTTCTTGATTTCCCATCTAGATCTATTATCTGGTCTCTGAATCAACCAAGGTGTCTGCATTTGCATAATTCATTCTGCTCCATCAACTATAAACTGATCTAGATAGTTATCTCCTCATATTGGCTTTTCATGATTTCTCGTGCTTTGTGTTTGCAATTCGGACATGTTTCCCGGCTCCTAATACTGTGCAGCCTGATAAGCATGAGAATTTTGAGGTCTCTAGATGAGAGTGCTCTGGCAGCAAATGATGTTCAACTTTTCCTTTTACCAAGTTTTCATGGTCTTTGAGGATAAGTGGGTGCTAATGTCTGATTCTCAACTGTTTATTTTGGGTTTTATTGTACTTGTAAGA